TGTTTGTCTTTATGGTACTGCACAGGTGTCTGTTTTATTTTTTTTCTCGTTGGATGTGGCAGGGTTTCTATTTGCACAATGCAGCTGCAAGGAGTAGTGACAGTCAAGTGGTTTTTCCTTGGAAAAGCAGTATTTTCGTGCACAGAGGGGAGCAGTTGTACCCGGACCAACTTCTCTTGTCTCCCTCTTGGGAGCTGCAAAGCAAGACCTGTAGTTAGACACGGTCTTCTTTCCAGCTCTCCGTTTGCAATGCTGGCAAAAGTGCAGGGCAGGGATTAATCCTCTTGGAATGCAGCAATTATACTAAATAAGTATTAATTGCTGCAGTCCAAGGGGATTAGCACAGTTGAACCCAATTATAGCAAAGCAAAGCTTCACTGTAAGCCACCATGGTGCACTGAAATGCAGTGAAGCAATGTAGGACTGTCAGTCTGTGGCATTTTGTCAATAAAAGTTGTGGGCTTGCACACTGTAAAGGGCAGACTTTTCAGTGTATTAAGTCTACTGTGTGAATGGCATGCCTTTCTGGGGGCTACACCTTTCTCACCAGAGAAAATTGTTGTTTATTTAACACCCATTATCTTTGTGTGAACATCTCCAAAATTATTTTGATGCTTGTTAAGTTAGTTCTGGCACTACAACGGTCAATCCCTGCTGGATATGGGGCAAGACTGCAGCCTGTCTGGATTCTTCTGTCTCTACCAGCTCCTCCATCAGGTGATATAGGTACTAATTTTGCCTGCAAGTACTAACTGTATCAAATAGGCTTAGGAGAACTTTTGATAACGGACCTGTTTCAGTCGCAGCAGTCTGTGGTGATGATTACAGGCAAGCGCTCTGTGGTAGCAATACATGAGCCAGAGGGCAGTGTGTAGTTAGTGTTTTTTTTTTTTTTTTTTTTTAATCCTCAGCTTGACTGTGGTGTGGGTTTGGTTTTTTTAGTTTTAATTTATTGTCTGTTAAAACTGCGAACCCTGCTGTTTTGTTTGGGGGTTTTTTATGGTACAGTCTAAGCATAACCAGTAAGCATGAAAACGGGATGCTTCTGGGGATGAATCAGCCCCTTGCATTAGAGCTGTACCAGGATTTCTTGTGTCCAGAGAAAGAAAAGCATATTGATGCACAGAACCAATTGAATGCATACCTTGTCTATTTTATGAAAGATGTGATCCTTACAGATAATGAGCTGCACCTTAATCGACATTAAACACAACTGAGTTGTATTTGGGGACCACTTCAATTCCCTGACCCATTCTGTTTCAGGAACCATAGATCAAATCTTGCAGTCTTCCCAGTGCAGGTAATTCTTGAAGTGCACTTACCTCCACCTGTATGTTTAGATAAAGAGTCAACTTTAGCTGAGAGCTTTTCTTAACCCAGCAGGGAGGGTTTTATGTCTCTACTGTGGCCTTGTCTGTATTGAGAAAAATAGCTGCTGGTTCGGCTTAACTAGTGTTGGCATTCATTTCTAGTCCAGTGTTAACAAAGTTCTTACGATCTGACTGAAGCGAGTAAACTGAAACATCAGTATGATTTAAACTCTTGGTAAAAATGCATGTATGAGATTGTGTAATGCACAGCATGGGCAGGAGGTGCTGAAGCTTTTACTGTGCTGTGTAGTTCCTAGAGATGCAAAGACCAAACAGGCTGGAGAAGAAGGCAGTACTAAGAAAATCATTCCTCGTCGTGTAATTGCAAGCTGTATGAACACAGAAAAGCTTTTTCCTAGAGACCACTTCCTCTTTATCTTTTTCTGTACTCCTTGACTGCATGTGATTTGCATCTCCTGTGCCGTGCTTGTGACAATAACTCGTAATACAAGCATGATCACTCTTCTGTATACTTGCATTGTATTTAGTTTATAATGATAAGCTTGCCTTATTTCAAAAGCTGACGGATGGGGAGGAGAGAATTTCTAGGGGCACTGTCATGCAAAGCCTTTTTCTGACTCTACCCACACTTCTAAATGAAGTCCATATACTCTATTTCTCTGACCTTTCCCTATGTAGACATCAAAACACATTGGCCCAACTGCTGTTCTCCCAGTGTGCCTACTGTTGCCATTAATCTCCCTTTCTTATACAGCTCTTCATTCCTTTTCCTTACCTTTGGCCTCAACACTTTATTCAAAGTGATAATTTGCTGGCTTTCTGCCGGAGGGAGAAGCTATGATCAATAACAGGAGGAGACAGGGGTCAGCAGAATAGTGATGAGCAGTGCCATTTGCTCCTCTGAAAATACTGTTACCCAAAAATATCAATAACTAGTATGATATTATTTTAGCTTTTGGATAAGGAGTCAGTGAGATTTAGGCAGCCTGCAGTGGGAGCAGGGGTCTTTTTCCTCTCACTAATTCCTTATTTCAGCCAATTTTCTGTTACGCGGGGAAGTGGACAGAGAGGGCTTTATCCGGCTCGCTTTGGAATATAGACCGTGTACCCGGGCACAGCCATTCCTGGGACTAATGGCACCTCTTTCAGCTTCAATGTGTGGTGGCTCTCACAGGCAGTGCTTTGCCTTCTGGCTGGTAGCAAGTCAGAGCCCATCTCCAGCCTTCCCTTATGGCTTTTCGGGTAGAAGAGCTGCAAAGGAAACCTTCCACAAGGCTGGGGGAGAGCAGAGGCTCAGCAGTACTGTGTAGGTATCGCAGAATAGCATGCAGGGCTAGGTTTTGGTGCTAGTAATACTAATTTTGGTATTGGCTGGTACAATATATAATAATTATTAAATAAAGGCATAATACTGTTACATCAGTGTATTAGCCTTCGTTACTCCAGACAGCAAGGTGATGAATTTCTTGGTCTCCTTCTTCCAAGAACTCCAATTTACTTTGCTTTCAAAAGACTATAAATCCTTCTGTCTTATATGCACAATAACTCTCACCCTGCCAGTTGTCTTCATATTATCGGGAAATAGCTGTCACCAATCCTGTTCCTGTACCTGCTGGGGATGCACATACCTCTTTCTCTTTCTTTTCTACAAATTAGAAATGGGGAAAAAAAGTGATTATTCGTTGAGATACTTGTGCTTCCTCCCAGCCTAAGCTCTGATCCTGAAATGTATTAATAGTATTACTGTTGTAAACACTCAGCAATCTTCTGTTGAGCCAGTTGTACTTTGTTGGGGGGGAGGGCTGAGTTTTAGGCTTTAAGGTGCATCTAAGTCATGTTTTCAAGCTTTTCTAATTCATGGTTGTCCAAAATGTACTTTTTATTGCTGTTGATAAAAGTGAAAATTTTTGTTCACACTTCAAAAGAGCACAGTAATGTGAGATTTCTTACAAAGCGAGATCACTCTGTCAAGTGGTGTGATTTTCATATAAATGCCCTAACACTTTGCTGGAGAATTTACTTCTGTCTAATATCTCCTTCTCGGGAAGATTTTTCTGAAACTCCAGATTTCACCTTAAAAAAACAAACCAAAAAGCCCTTGAAAACCCAAACAACTCCCAGGTGTCCCTGATTCCTGGTTCTCTGAGTTCTAGCATCTTGTTTTCCCATTTTCCCTCTCTCTTTAAGATTTAATTTCTTTATCTGTAAAAGCTTAACTGCCCTGGCTTTAGTAAGGCTAATTTGAAAAGAATGTCGAGGTCCTCAGGTAAAAGCATAATGAAATGATTTAATATTGTTAACACAAATCAGTTTGTGTTTTTCCAGCTCATAGTGTGAAGTGTTCTCCAGAGTGATATTTGCTAGGTTACTGCTAAAGCGTGCTTACTCTGTTGTCTGTGTGGTTATCCACCGCTGTCTACGGAGTGCTGCTTTAATACCGCCTGATTTGATCACTAGCTTGGCGTCGCAAGGAAGCAAGCGTTGTGATTCTCCTGGCTCAGCCTGCCCCTCACCACCACCCCAACCACTTTTGACCTGGGGGGTCAACATCAATCCAGCTAAACAAAGGAGACTCAAACGTAACCTGTTCTACTTGTGGTTTTGTGTAGCTAGCTGCAGCGATGTTATTAGTCCCCTCGGAGGAGGAGAAAAATCACGGTACTTTCACTTTCAGACTGGGCTGCTGGGTTCATCAGTCAGCACGTAGGGGTGCTACCTGGGGCTGTGTGCCCAGCTGCCTTGTCCCTCAGAGGCAGACACTGGAGAGCCAAGGGGATGGCAGGAACTTAGGGCAGCATGGGAGGCACTGCAGCCATTGTGCTGAATGGGGAATGAGGACCTGTGAGAAACCAGGCTTTGCCTGCGCGGCTGCCAGGCGGACCTGCTCGGTTTTGCATCGCTCCGAGGACTGTGTTAAGGGACCAGCCTAAAATGTGGGGCTGAAAAGCCCTGTTAGCTCCCAGAATGCAGTCACCTTCAAACCACTCGTGCCATTCCTGGGGCGTGCCGGTCTGCCTCTGGATCCGTTGCTAGAGGACAGCTTCAAGCAGCAAGAAGGTTGAATCTTGTGGCCTGCTCAGTAGGTAGGAGTGGCACGCGTAGCTAGAGGCTGCCAAGCTTTTTGTTTCAAGCCAAGCGAGGAGGAGATGCATGCTGTGCTCTCCCACAGAGATGACACAGGCTCTCCTCCCTACGGGCTGCGGTGGCTTCAGAGGACAAAATGGATTCAGAGGACAAAATGGCCCCAGGGCTCTGCACATGCTGACACACTCTTGAAATACAAAGATGCGGTGTGTTTGCATCAAAAGGCATCTCCATTTCATAGACAGGTACAACTGAAATGAGCCAGGCAGCACCAGCTGGGCTGGTGTTTTATGTCCCATGGATGCTGTCTGCAGGGACGGGCAGAGCCCAGCTGTCCCTGGTGCTGGCCACCCCATAGCCCTGAGAGTGCAGCTGCTTCCAGTTGCTGATGGTAAGGCCATATTTCACTTAGACTTAGAAATTAACTTTGCATCTTTCCCAGTTTAGCCAGCTACTTGTTCAGGAGTGACTGTAACTTTAAAATTTTAACTTCTATTTGTGCCATACTGCACACAGGGCATAGTTATACAGTATCCCTTTTGAAGTCGGGCTGAATTTGATTCTATATATGCTTTCTAGGCCGCTTAGAGATATCAGCAGCCGCTGACTGGGATTTCCTAGGAATCATCAGACAAACTGGAAAAAAACCCCACCTAAAACCAACTTGCAAAGAGGAAAAAGAAAGAAAGAAAAAAAAAAATACAAAAGGAAACCCCAAACATCAATACCAAGAACGTAAACCCCAGACCTCAGAGGCTGCCAAGCTGTGAGGCAGAGGAAGGCGCGTGCTTCGGCGCCGCTGCCGGCAGGTGGACTCCGAAAGCCCTCATAGGAGGGGAGCTTCCTGCAGGGCTGGCAGACGAGCAAAGCCTGTGGAGGTGCCTCTTCTCCTCCTCCTCCTCGCCCTGCGCCTGCGGCCTCCTGCTCCCCAGCACCGCCCGGGCGAGCAAGATGAAGTGGAGGAGGGCCGTGATCTTTGCCATCCTGCAGGCACAGCTCGCCATTACGGGTAAGGCAGGCCTTTCTTTTATGAGGAGCTGTTTTAAAGCTCTTTTGATGGAGGAGCGCTTTGTTTCTGTGGTGGATTCCCCACCATTTTGGTAGCAGGAGGGTACCTGCGTGAGGACCTCAGCCATGTCTGTCCTCCTCATCATGGCTGCCTGTGAAGGGGGCGGCAGGGCTGGTCATGTTGAACTGCCCTGCCATAAGGAGACCCTCCGGAGGGCTGGGAGGCGGAGGCGAGGACAGCCATTGCTGTCGGCACGGCCTCCTCTTCTCCTGCCTCAGTGACTGGCGCAGCTGAACAGTGACTCGTAATTTAACAAGGCCCTCACCTGGGTGGCTTTCCTTGCGACTTAAAAGGGGAATTTTGATACAATAATGAACGGCTCGACACCTGCAGTAATCTGCACAAAAGAGGCTTTTAATTTAGTTAGGTAAAATTAGAGCCAGGTTGCTCGTAGCGGCATGTTGGGTGGTTGGTTTGCAGTAAGCGGTGTACCAGACAGGCTGGAAATGGGGGGGTGTAGGCAATGAGGGAAAGGGTAGGGTCCTTCCTTTCATAGAATCATAGAATCGTCTAGGTTGGAAAAGACCTTTAAGATCATCAAGTCCAACCTTTCATGTCTCTGCTAGACACAGTGTAAAATGAAGCCATTTTTACCTTCGCATTTTTACTCGTGGTGGTGTATGTGCCAGCCCCCGCTTTGGGCAGAAAGCGAAGCAGCTTTGGCATGCACAAATCTCCAAAAGTCACGTTAATCTGGGGAGAGAGGAGTGTACTTCTTAGTAGGTTTGTAGGTCAAAAGAGCAAGAAAATTGAATTTGTACCCAGAGAAGGCCTCAGCCTTGGCCTGAGTTTGGAGAAGTCAGTCACTGTTAGTAGGCCACGTTTGCACATGTATTAAAGCAAAATTCACTGGAAGAGTTTCCCCCACAACATACACCCTGAATGTACTTAACATACCACCCTTACTTATGCTGAAGAGCCTTGGTTGCTGCCACAGGCTTTTTATTCGAAAGTTTTCTTGAGATTAGAGAAGGGTTTTGCAGCCACTTGCTAACACTGTAAGGCCAGTTCTTTTAATTTGTGGAGGTAATATTTCAGGAGGATTTTAATCAGTCTGGTATGCTCTGTGGTAGGCATGCCTTCTGTTCATCTTCCATTCAACCTCTGGGGCCTCTCTCCCTTTCTGATACTTAAGTATGATACTTCTGGTACCTAAATTTTATACATTGCTTCTGTATCCATAGATGCATATGGGGCTATAAAGGTATGAAAATTACTTTAGGTCAAAATGAACCCACAAAGAAAATCTTTTTGCATTTTCTTCTTTTAATCTGGAACAAGATATCAGTAGTTCAGGCTCCTATTTTGTACATTTTTAGCAGAGAACTTTTATTGAAAAATATGTAATACGATTTGCAGATGGGTAAAGCTAGCCCTGCGTGTGCTCACAAAGAATACATGGGGTCACATTTTGAACAGGTTACAGTTGCCATTGATTTGGAAATGGTTGCCTCTGGATTTGAGGGGAAGTATTTTTGATTGGATACCTGTAATAGTTCAAAGAATAGTATTTAGCTTAAGAGTATAGGTAAAATAAGAGATGTAGCACAAAACTTGTGGAGTTGTTGCTATGTTATTGATGCAAAATACTCAGTAACAAAAATGTACGATGACCATAAACTTAGTTCAAAGATGAAACCAAACAGATGGGTTTTTCAGCTATGAACAGAAGCAAAGATCACCTGCTGCCTGGAGTGTTTTCAAGCCTTCTTAGAGTGAAGTGAACTTTTATTTTTTTGTAAAACCAGCTCAGATTGGACAGAGATTCAGAAAGCCGCGTACCACCTTACAGTGAGTTAATTCCATTTTGCTATAATGCATTTTGTGCTTATTCTTCAACTGGTCAATTAAAAGATGCTACAAAGATCAGGACTGATGAACTTGCAAAGCCTTTCCTCTTGATCTTTTGAATACTGAAGTAAATGTCAGGTGTGAGAAAAAACTGTTTTAAAATAAGTAGTTCTAGAGATGGGCTGCAAATTCTGATGCAGATTTTGAATTATTGACATCAGACCACAAATTTCAGAATGCTAAGACTTGACCTTCGAGCAATTACAGAGGGAAGCCATATTATATACACATCTAGTTTTCTGTGTTTCCCCCTTCAAAGGTACAAAAGTGTACATCTGGAAGTTTAGCTGAGGTCCTCCTATAACCCCTCTGTTAAAAAGTGCGTAAAAAATAAGTAATTTGAATTTCTGAGCAGATGACTTGATTAATCATATTGTTTGCTGAGACATAAGAAGAATATTAAAATACTTCTACCCAAATATCACAATTAAAATGGCAAAAATCTTCAAACGATTTACAGAGCTTGTAGTCTGAAGTATGACAGACTTCAATGGCGACAAAACAGTACTGGGGGCAATATTGTAGAATTGCTCCTTTTTTTTTTTCTTTTAAGGCTGACGAGATGACACTGATTTGTACAGATATACCACGCGCACGTATATAAATGTATGTGCAAGAGTTCTTCAAGCGCAGCCCTTCTGTGTTTTTCACTTCTTTATAAAATCACTTTTGTCAGAATCGTCTGCTAAACAGAATTGGACAGTGTCCTGTTTTTTGCTAACTCCGTAGAAACTAAAACATGTCGGCATTTGGCAGATATTACTTGCACAGCTTATTTTCGCAATATTTTGCTGCTCTGCATAACTGTCTTCTGCCCATTGGGCGCCATGATGCCAGGAGCCTTTTTTTAATCTGTTCATGGACAGAAAGATAAAATGGACAGGTAATGGGTTCTAGGGTTAATTTGTTCCTTCCTTGTCATCAGATGACTTAGAAGGTCCACAAACTACAAGATTTGTAAACTAAAAGTTGTTTACAAAACTATCTGGGAAATCACACAAGTAAATACAGACTATTTTGGCTACCATCCCCATGTCCTTATGCGCTGTCTTAAATTCTCCTAGCTGAATTCTTGTTACATCTAGGGGGGAAAAAAAAAATCTAAAGGCTTAATTTTGCAAGTTTTATTTCTTTTTTTTTCTCCTCCCTGTTCACAATGATTCATTAATAATTCATCGAAGAAAACTCTGAACTGGCTCATTAGCAAATGAAACAAAATGTACGCAAATGCAGCCTTTCTTTGTAAAGGGGCATTTGTTGAGCTCTTCCAGTGCTATATTCAGTGCTTGCCCAAGCAGAATTCCTAATGAGTGAAGTAACAAGTTAATGATCGCATTCCTCTTGGTTTTTCATGTATGCTAGATGGGAAGTATATACAAAACAGAGAAAGCTATCTGAAAATATGTATCTCCTGTGTAAATGTGTTCCTAAGTAACACTATGTGGATAAAAAGCCAAAGTGGGGGAAAAATAGGAGGTTCACTAGCAGCTTAAAGGGAACAAGAACTTGATTTATGAATGAACATTCATGTGAGGAACACTTTTGACAGCCATTTTCTTTTAGTCACGCAAACCTGAATTGTGACTAGCATCATGAGTAAAACCATAAGCAAGGAAAAAAAGATATACATAAATAAATTATTTGCTTCCTAACTAACTCCAAACTGTAACCAAACTCCTTTTAACAAAAGAAAGAAGAAAATACTTGCTTGCATAATTGCGGATAACCATCGAATCCCCCTCACCTCCTCCAATTCATTGTGTATTTGAATGCCGATATTGTATGTAGAGCTGTAAGATGCATTAGCTATTCTGGCAAGCAAGCAGAGTATGTTTTTAGGGTGGCATGAATGGAAGATATAACTTCTTACAAACACTTAAATACCTTTAACAGGATACATATTTTACTTTGTGCGGGTGTACTCATATGCGTATTGTTGATTTTTCTGTTCCACTGATATGACTTTGGTCAACAGCTAAATTAAAGGTTTGCTGATGTTTCTTTTTAGCATTAAGAAAACAACTTAGGCTATTCTAGAGTCTTTGAGAAGCTGAAATTTTGCACATTTTTCTGATTTGCAGTGTTGGATAATGTAATATTTTTTTAAACTGGTTTTGAATATGGTTTTCTTAATTTCCTTTAAATACATAGTATTTTTAGCTTTTAAAATATGACAGACCAAATAATTTTTTTTTTCAGGAAAGCAATGAAGGCATTTAACTCTACTTTGTCTTATGCAACAGATTTATAACTTCATATATGAACAGATAAAATGTGCAGGCAAATGAAAAGCTTAGTTTGCGGTTCTTCAGTCTACTCACTCAAACTCGTAGGTCTCAGGAGACAGTGAAAATGTGTGTATTTAGCCACATACAATGGGTATATCCATCTTTGTGAAAATTAGACTTACCGATGTGCAGTTCTGTCAGTCCTTTGACAATTTAGCTATTAAAAATAGAAGTGGAAACATCTAGCTCGTAAGCCTCAGAGATCACAAGCACTGGTGTTTCTGCAAGTTCTGTTTAAAGGGTAGAAGCCATCTCAATTTTTGAACCATATAGATTGGAAATACTTTAACCCCTACAAGTTTCCTAGGAATAAACCATCAAGCTTTGGAAGCTCTTTATGTAATTTGTCTTCAATACTTTGTTATGTGTCTGTGAAGTCTTAAGAAGAACAGCAAGTTTGGAGTTTTCCATCTTCATGTACTTTTGGTATGTGAGAGTATGTTAAACATTGCGCTTCTGGCAAGGAGGTTGCGAAGCCTGGTGAAATGCTCGTGCTATTTGGCCTGTTTCTTTCACAGAATGTAGCCGAGTAAAAACTTCATCTATATCCTGACTTTTTCTGAGTAGCAGAAAGTTTTTTAATTTGTTCTATTTTTAAGTGAAGAAGAAGCTATAATGATAACACAGCTCTTTGAAAGCTCAGATAATATGGAGGCGAAATATATAACAAATTAGAATTTGATGGAAGCTTACAAGGGAAAAAGGTTGGAAAATTTTCAACAAATGACAGCATAAGCTGTAGTAAAACACTGTGAATAAGTCTAGAGGGTGGCTAGTTGTCAGGACTTGTGGGTGTTTTTA